CGCATCCCCACCTCCTATAGGATACAGCTATCTCTTCCCCGCATTCCCCTCTCCTCTCTCCCCCCCATATCCAACTTTGCTATCTTCCTCCCTTCTTCAATGTGTGTTCACATCACCCGATGATGCAAAAGGAGGAGAAACATTTCTATAAAATACCTAATGGACTACGGTCTCACCTGTTAGGTTGTCGGGGCTCCACTGCATTTCCGCCTGGCCCTTCGGCGGACTCCGGACTCCACTCCATGTCCACCGCCACTGGAGACGAGGCGCCTACACTAGTGTACTGACAGTACTGACAGGGGGGACCTAGCTTCAAATCGCTGATGATCTACATGTGACATGTCTGCTAGTTTCGTTTATTGTACCTGTTTCATCCGGCTGGTTAGCTTGAGCCTGTGCTCCCGCACCAACCACCGCAACTGGAGTTTGTTGCTGAGGATATTCATCTGCAGCATATCGGACGTCGTAAGTTAAAACCACAAAGAGTACGTGGCAATGTATCGCAACAGTGAGAAATTGCGACCATCTCGTGAGGAGCCACGGCCTCTTTGCCATTATTAACAAGCTGGATGCACTGCTGTCTGGTGATGTGATAATATGCACGAGACTGGCACTGATCATTGCGTCCACAGGACGCACACGAAAATTCGAATTTGGTGAGCGGCCGTCGCAGAGGTAACGGGGATATGTTTTAGCTGGAGGGGCCATAGTTATTAGCTGTTATTCTATCTTCAATAGCCAGGTTTGCAAACAGATGCTGTGCGTTTGTACTTGTTTTGCCGAACGTAGCTCCAAAAACACTATGCATGATCATGCTAAGTCATGTTCTCACTAAAACCAATTCTGGCATGACGATATCAGAAGGCTTCTATAAAGGAATCCGTGAATTAAGACCACTTCAGCCAAACTACTTCTGAAGGGCCCTCAGCCCTTCATTGTGGGATGAGCTCAGAATTCATGATAACTCACGTTGGAACAATGCATACAGTCATAAGTAATTAAAACAATCCCTGGCATGGCGATATTACAGGGCTTTTGCATGCTAAGTGGCCATTTCAGCCGAACTCCGTCGATATGCTCTGAAGGCCCCTCAGTCCTTCGTTATGAAATGAGCACGAATGAGCACGAAACGACAACTAGATGAAGGGATTCCCGGGTATCGAAGGGAAGCTGGTTCCCAGAGTGGCAGCTCCGCCACGCCTTGCGCACCATCTCGGGGTTCTCCTTGAGCTTGCACCAGCCAGCGAGGAGGAAAGTGGGAATGAGGGGCTTGAGGTAGGAGGTGCGGAGGCTCAGGACAACATCCTCCGGTGCGATGCCCTTGTTGAACTCCTGCCCTTGTTGAACTCCTGCCGTACAGTTTCCTGCACGGTGAGCATGGCGGTCTCACGGGTGCCGTCCTTGAAGGGCTTCTGGATGCCAACATCACATGGCTGAGCCTTCGAGGTGCAGTTGGCGGGCACATACTTGATGAAGACGCCCGGGATCTGCGCTTTGATAAAGTCCTGCAAAGGGAAAGCAAAAGCCAAAGCAGTGTAAGGCCTCACTTAATGGCTGATGAGGTCAGGGAACAAGCAACGAACCCAATAAGTATCCCCACTGTCGATGATAGACCCCTTCACACCTGGAAGTCCTCCGTCAGGTGCACGTGCCAGCAGTCCAGCATCAGGAGCCAGGGGTGGTTCTCGGGCAGTCCCAGCTCCTTCTTTACACGTGTGACATAGGGCTTGACCACATGCGTGATCCACAGGCACATGGTGGTTTCGGTCACCCAGTGGTTGTCAGGAGCCAGGGGTGGTTCTCGGGCAGTCCCAGCTCCTTCTTTACACGTGTGACATAGGGCTTGACCACATGCGTGATCCACAGGCACATGGTGGTTTCGGTCACCCAGTGGTTGTCAGTGCACGTGTAGACCCAGCCCAGCGCCTCCGTGGCTGCACATGTGTGCTGGGGAGGAAGGCTGCGGTCCGTCAAGCCCTGAGGAAACAAAGAAAAGACCAAGGTGTATGAGTCTTGCCAATAAAGTGCGACCAGGCATCACGAACACGTGTTAACTTAGGGTTCATGCCCCACCTGGAAGACCACCTTGAGGGGAAGCATGTCGCCTGAGGCAGAGCAGGCCACCATGACCATAATCTGCTGCTTGTCCTCAAGCCCCAGCACCCGCACGTGGCGTGTTCCGATCTGGGTATAGATGTTGCGGCTGGCGGGGAACATGTTGCAGCCCGTCTGGTCGCCGTTAATCACCAGCTGGGGCGGGATCTTGTGCTTCCAGGTCAGGTATGCCACCTGTGGACCAAAGGGGCAAGGGGAAGGTGCCTGTGTGTGAGTCGAGAGGCCCCAAAATGCCGTGGCGTGTTCCCTTCTCTCCCTTCTTCCCTTCCCTCCCCTTCCCACCTTTCCCTGATGGCTGACTAACCTGGTACACAAACAGCTGCAGCACCTGCTCCCACTGATCTGGCAGCTTCTGGGCAGCAGACGTGGCGGCGCGGTGCGACAGGTTCATCTGGCGGCACACCTTGCGGATCCAGGACCGGCTGACCTTGAACGTGCCGGCACCACCAGGGGCATCAGCAAGAAGGAAGCCATAGCCCTTACACTTGAGCCCAGCAGTGATGTACGGCTGCAGCGTCGCCGAGTTCACCTGCACGCATTGGTGGGGTCGGGTGGGGCGCGATGGGAGACTTGGATGTAGGAACATTGTTACACTGGTTTCCAGGGGGCAACTTAAGGGCAGCTGGCAGGGCCGGGCGGCTGGACGGGGCCAGCCAAGAAAGCAGCAGGGGACACACCTGGGAGCCAGTGTCAATGAGCTCCAGGATCCACTGCTTTACGAAGGCGTAGATGGCCGGAGGGAGTGAGACCGACCGCATGTTGTGCACTGTGTTGCTGTTGAAGGCCTTGCGGTCAGTTGCCAGCCACCTCTTGTACCAGTTGGACGCGGTGGTGTGCGCGACTGGCTTCTTGAAGGTCACCTCCATCTCGGCTGCCAGCTGGTCGATGGCGGTCTGGATCTGCAGGTGTGAAGGGAAGCGTGACAACGTCAGGCACACACTGCACGGGAGTTCGCGGCGTGCACCAGTAAATTCCGGGCCCCTGACGGGCCCCACGTTGCTGGCGCCACTCGAACGCTGGCAATGCCTGCCCTGAGCTCAATGGGAGCATTGGTGTCGAGCTTGGGTAAAAGGCTAGTAAGCTTAAGCTGTTTAGGCGCCATTCTGAGCGCGCTTTCTGAGGGTGGGCCTGTAAGCTAAAGTTCTTGTCCGAACAACTTAGGGGTAAAAGACGAAGATAACTACAAGCCAACAGCGTCTTCTGGAGGGCTTTTACTGTTTGTCGATACCGTTAACACGGTGTACGACATATTTGTGACAGCCAGTTTGGTGATGCCCATAAAATTTTGCCTAAGACCTTTTTCCACTGCTATACATTTGTGGACGCCATACCAATTGCGTGTCACAAAAATCTCGTATCATTACGGTAGGCGCAGGATGCACGAGGTCCAGCTGCAGCTATGATGCAGCCAACGAATGACAAGTGAGTGGCATCATCAGCCATTGCACTGGTTCATTAGATGAGCGGTAAACGTGCCCAGCAACGTTTGCAGTGCTGCTGGTGATAAGGCCACCAAAGCGTTTGAGGAATTCCTGGCCGTCAGTGGAATGGAATATGACGACTTTGCCGAGTTCTATGGCAACTTGGCAACAAAGGACTTCACCATCGCGACCATGCTCCTCATGCCATGGCTGCACACCTGGGCAGCACCAAACCCAAGCAACAACCCAACGTATGATGTTGTCTCATGAGAAGTAGTAAAATTGGGCTTGCATGTTAGACATTGCAACTGCTTGCTTGCATGATCTGCAGGACTCAAATGAGGGGGTTGCAACCCCATATGGTAAACTTGCTTCAGCAGGCATGTGTACAGAAGCGAGAAACGGGAGCTGCAGACGGCATCATCCACCAAAGCTCTGCCTACGATGAAGAAAGGTGACATAAGCATGATGCCGCTCTGCCTGAGATATGGGTGCCGGTTTGGAAGCCGTTGAGGATGGAGGCGTATGTTGGCTACTGGCTCATATCACGACACGTGAATAGTGACCACTGGTGAGTTGTTCTCTGGGGGAAATCATGATGTAACAGGTTGATTAAGGCAACTACCCAGGTTCAAACAGGAAGAAGCCGTTGAGGAAGTATGCTGGTTACTAGCTCATATACGGAGCTAAGACTTGAGAATGGTGAAATCTTCTCTGGGGAAGTCATGATAGAACGGGTTGGATTAGGCAAATAATTCAGTTCCGACCTGAGTTCGATTCCCGGGCATGCTTTTTCTGCATGGGAGGTGATAGCTGTGACTACAGGTATCTACACAGTTGCATCCATCACTCTGAGATTGACAGATGGTTGGGGACCCCCTGATTTTAAGGGGGGATAATTGTCATTCATGTGCAAGCAAACAAGGGCAACTGCAGTTTTTGGATTTTGTGTCAAATTACCTCTTGCTGCATATATTCTGTATGGAGTCTCCTATACAGGGTTTGGCGTATTTAACTTCTGATGGGCATGTTTGTCTGTCTACAGGGCCCACCCAGCAACCTGCAGCTGCTGTGGACAACACCACATGCTTTCCCCACCACACATCAGCACGCAGAGTCAGTGGAGGGTTAAAGCAGTAGTAAGGTGTGTGGCATAAAACTGCATTCTTAGTTCCACATCACAGTCATTGCAGTTCTTGATGGTCTGACAAAGGTGCTATTGTATGCCCCTGCCTGATCTTTGCTGCATACAGGCTCACAAACTGCTTGTGGAGGACTGCTGCTGCAGCAATGTCTTGTAGTGTTAACTAACAGCGATAGAGGACTAATACTAGGCATGACTACCAGAAGGTGTTAGGGTGGATAGTGCATGTGACCTATGATGTAGCATGTTTTGAGGCAAATTTTGTTGAGAGATGGATGAGCTGCAGCTGGGTGCACCCAATTGTAACGACGCAAATGCCAATCTGAGCATCCCGGGTTACGCCTTTGCTGTGTTACAATGGTATCGAGACGGGACCGCACGAATTCCGAAATAAACTTCGGGTCGGCGGTTCGATTCTGGCAACCAGCAAGTCGCAGATTGGCGATTTCATGGTGTAATGGATAAACCAGCGCACTGGCGCGAGGTGGGATGGCTCCTGTGCTCGAAATAATGGCCGAGGACGTCCATTGCTAAGTGGGGGGCAATGTAACGACGCAAATGCCAATCTGAGCAACCCGGGTTACGCCTTTGCTGTGTTACACCAATATGAAACTGTTTGGAGCTGTTTCGAAGCTTCTGCTGCAGCAGCTGCTGCATACAGGCTCACAAGCCGCTTGTGGAGAAGCTACTGCTAGCAGCAGCGCTGCTGGACTGTATAGTCACTGTACAGACTTGTCTTGGAGTGTTAACTGACGGTGATGGAGGACTACTTCTAGGCATGAATACCAGAAAGTGTTAGGGTGGATAGAGCGCTTCTGAGCTATAATGTAGCATGTTTTGAGGCAAATTGTTGACAGATCGATGAGCTGCAGCTGCAGCAGCCGCTGTTGTGGAAATGTTTGGTGCTGTTTGGAAGCTGCAGATTGTTTGGAAGCTGCAGCTGCTTCAGCTGAAGCAGGCAATGCATATGGCTTAATGTTTTTACATAGCAGGACTTCGGAATTTCGTATGCATGTAGCTGCTGCTAGGCGATGTGTATATGTAAAATTATGAATCCACGCATACATGGTCTATCCCTACCCCTATTCCGCAGTCTCATGAGAGAATAACATGCTTGGCAGCAATCAGGGGGGGCTTCCACAAACGAGATCGCATCAGGTGCAGCCCTACATCGCACAACGATTCATCATACACATGGTTTTTTTTCGTTTTGGGCCTAGTACCCTAGAGTAATAAACTGGGTGTTTCTTGCGGTTACTATTCCTATTTGTATAGTCGCTGCCCCCCCCAGACCCCCCCCCCTCCATATCCGGCACAACACACTCAGCCCATTCGAACAAAGCTGTCCAGTGCGCCTGGAAGCGACGCACTCCCTCATTCTCCCGCCAGCTCCCATCGCTTTGGCCTTTCAGCACACGCTGTGTTTGCTTGCGCCGCGCCTGCTTTTGAATCACCAGCAGCGTGTGCTGTGAAGCACCCACCCTTGAAGGTGGCTGTGGTGCCGTGGCACATCTTGGGGCGGTGGCCCTTCCTCGTCAGAATCAAGCTGTTCAGCATCTGAGTCGCTGATTGCTGCAGTTGTGTGTGTGGCCACTTTGCCGGGGGATCCTCAACTTCGCTCAAATCGCTGGCTTCACTGACTTCAAGAGCGGCAACTGCGGCATGCCTATCCTTGTCTACTGTATTATCTAATTCTTCTTCTAAATGTTTGGGGCATTGCGTCTGCGGAGTTTCTGAGCTGTTTGCTTTGGTCAAGAATGGACGAATGCCCTGTCCCTACCGCATGTTATTGACCCAATAATGGGAACGACTAATAACCAGCCTCGGTTACCAGGCTATAAGGTTACTGGGACGTTTACGGGCTAGGGTTGGTAATCGGTCAGTTACCCGGTAATCAGGCACCGTTACGGGGGTGTTTATCAGGTCGTTTATCAGGTGGCCAGTTACAAGAATGTCCTCGGTAATGCACTCTGGGTAAACGGGGGTCATTTTACCCGTAAATTTGGGTCAATCCACCTCGTAATTTGACAGAAATTACGGGTCCATAACACGTTACGGGTCCCGTAATTTGAGCACAAGGATACGGGTGAACATTTACGGGCGACTACCCCGGAATTACGGGTGGATATTACACGGTGCTGCAGGTGAATTACGGGTGCATGTAACCAATTACACGCACAATTACGGGTGAATACCCAGTGATTACGGGTGGATATTACGTGGTGCTGCAGGTGAATTACGGGCGCATGTAACCAATTACACGCACAATTACGGGTGAATACCCAGTGATTACGGGTGGATATTACGCGGCACCGTGGGTCAATTAAAAACCTTTATAGTTTGTACAATTCGCTCACTGAGTCGCGTCGACTGTATACTTCACGAACGTGATCGGTTGGGGTTGATCCGACGACTTCAAAATCGTCAATTGCTCGATGCCATATGTAGCAGCTGGCCCCTGAAAAAGCCTCTTGATATGCTGATACTCGCGCTCTGCCGTATTTATAGTGCCATATTGTGTACTAGACGCGGGCTGCGTTGCCCGCGAGGGGGCTGTAGTCCCCCGGTGCAGCGTGTACATCCGTCCCCCATTGCAGCGTCTAGGTCCGTTGCAGCGACGTGTGAGGGGGCAGAGCAAGAAGTTTGTCATGGGTGCAACGGGGGACAATGGCCCCCTCGCGGGCGACGCAGCCCGCGTCTAAACGCACATGAATGCACCCGAATGCACCTGAATGCACCAGAACGCGGCGGGAGGTGGTGGAAGGGGCAATATTGGATATGTCGTGCGCGGTGCATGATGTGTGTGAGGGACGCTGTCGACTTGTGTGGGAGTTGAACCCACAAGTGCATGTAATGCACCCAGCCGTGCATGTGTGTCGTTGTGCGGCAAAGTTGCCGTTCAACGCTGGCATTTAACGCCATCCAGTGGCGGCTGTACGCGGTGTTCGCTGTGTCAGGCAGGGTTGGTTGCGGTGGTCCAACGCTCCTCCAGGTGCCAGGCGTGTTGGTACTCGGTTGGCATAGCGTTGGCGGGTTTTGGTCGCATGGCAGTCGAGGAGGTGCAGTTCGGCGGCCAGATCAGGGTCCAGCTTTGTTGCTGCCAAAAATTGTTTGATGACTCGGCGTCGCTCGTCGGGTGTGGTAGAGAGCGGGCGCAGGAGGCGGATGTGGTTGAGGGTCTTGTAGCGGGTGAGCAGCACGTACATGGTTGCACGCTTGAGGCCACCGGGCGGGACGGAGAGGTCTGCAACCCAGCACTCGTCCTTGAAGCTCCGGCCCTGCATGAAGTAGTCGGTAACGGCGTAGTAGTCACCCAGGGGCACGTTGACACGACGTACATTCTTGGTGGTGGTGCCGGTGTTGGCAGCAGGCACGGTGATGTTTGCTGCTGGTGAGGGCCGTGGTACAACAGCGAAGGCAGCACCCTTGGATGCGAAGTCCGCCAGGTCCGCTAGCACCGTTTTGGGTGTGTGCCCTTTCACGGGACGGACCATGACGGCTGCGGGCAGGTAGTGAAGGCGCCAGTACGGGCCACGGCCATCGTCGGGCGGCTCACGGCTGTCGGTGATCAGGCCGCACGCCTCAACTTCATTGTTGTGGCATGTGCCGGTGTCGGCGGCAGTGGTGTCCAGTAGGGTGTAGCGTGCACCCTCATAGTACCAAGTGTCGGCGGTGGTGTGGTCGAATGTGGCGTCTTTTACACACATTGCGACAGCCTTCTCGACGTGGTTGAGTGGTGATTGTTGGGCCGTGCCATGTTGCCGAACCGGGACGTGGTCCGCGTTCCAGCTGACCAACCGTGTACCCTTGCGGCGCGCCTGGAGCATGAGGAGCCGTGTGTTGAGCGCGTGTCTGGGTTCATTGCGCTGCAGCACCACACGGGGCTCGAGGTCGGTGAGGTCAGATAAGTCGGTGATGACACGCTGATTGAGAGCGTCTATGAGATCTGCGACACGTGCTTCAGTGGGTTGACCACCACCGAACATGGTCGTGAACCGGGTGAGCTGCTGGCCGGATGGGCTGTTGTCTTGCCGCTGTTGTTTTTGCAGCATGAATACGGTGCTGCCGAGCTGGCGGTACAGCTGGAAGCCGTCATGCAGGCGGGTGTGTGTCTGTGGTACAAGTCGACGAGGGTGACGTGTGGTCACGGTAGTGTGACGGTTGCTGCTGTCTCGTCGGTGTCACCGCTATCATGGTTGCTGCCGTCCCCATGGTCACCTCCACCTTCGCCAACTGAGGCTGGTGGGCACCGGGTGGTCGTTGCCGACGGGCTGAACTGGGGGTTTTGCTCGACGGCTGCTGTGTAGCGGTATGGTGGCGACCCGCCTGGCTGAGGATGCTGTAGCAGGTCGCCGATTCCGCCAGCGGCACGGCCAGACAAGACACGGCTGCTCGAGTGAGTGGGCCCAAGGTGTGGTGGGGGCGGCACGTTGGCTGTACAGGAGTGGCTGATGGCGCCGAGGTGCTCGTGGCTTTGCATGCCAATTTCGTCGATGAGGATGGCCCCATCACCGACATTGCGCTTGACCTGAAGGCCGGCATGGGCACCACGCTTGGGAAGGTTGGCGCCACGGGAGCCGCTTTGACTGGCTGAGATGCCAAACATTGAGTGGGTTGATAGGCTGCGATGAACTGGGGTGTTGAAGGCGATTGCGGCGGCCCAGGAGTACGTGCATGTGGCAGCCCAGTCAGGACTGTCATGTTGGTACGTGTACCAGAGTAGTGCGTGTACGAACTGAGTCTTGCCTGTGCCCGGAGGACCCATGATGAGCATCTGCGGCGGGATGCCTGGATCGGGCTCGTTGCAGCGGTCGAAGTAGCACGCCATGAGCATGAACGGGACGGCCTGATCCGGCGCCAGGGTATAGAGCTCGATGGTGTCGTCGATGGTCGGCGGCCGTGCTAAACACAAGTAGGTTGGCATTCCCGCTGTGATACGGTCAGATTGTTGGGCACCGTTTACAAGTACCGCTACGAGCGGGTAGCCGGGGTGGTGATCCAATTGTAGACGGGGTGTGCGGTCGGCGGTGGGCAGCGTGGTTGTGGTGCCTTCGGAGACGACTAGGTAGCGCTTGAGCCGCTTAGAAGCCTCACTTAGCAGCACAACGTCGGTGGTGCATACACAGCGAATGAAGGGGTTGGTGTTGGCACCGAGTGTGTCAGGGAGAGGAAGTACACTGCAATGCCGAGCTGCACCATAGGTGTACAGGCCTTCCACCGTGGTGTGGTCGTACAGGTCCGTTAGGGCGATATCAGGCAGGTTGATTCCCAGCGTCGGGTCGCCTTGGCCTGGCACAAAGTCATACCGTTCGACCTGATCGTCTTGCGGCGGCTGTGTGGCAGGGTCGGGTTCGAGGCGGCCTTGTGCAGCTTCCGGGTCATCATCATCCGGGTCGCTGGAACTGTTGTTGGGGGTCAGACCGGCAGTTGCAGCAGCAGCGCGGCGCTGGCAACGTCGCAAGTTATAGTCGGCCTGGCGCCGGGCACTGGCGAGGTGCTCTGCTTCAATGTTGTCTAGCAGGACACTCACACAGGCTCTGTACGATCGGCCTGCCTCGGTGGATCCGAGGTCCATCCACCACGCGTCATACGCCTCTTTCACCGTCTGATCGGTGGCCACCGGTTGGCCACGGTGAGCCTTGAAGATGCCTAAGACGAATGCATAGTAGGCGATGGCTGCTGCAGTGGTGCTGCCTGCTGGCGGGCGGCGGGGCAGTGCGCCGCCCAGCAGGATGTACCTTGGCTGCACCAGGCGATGGAGAACATGTGTGAGGTACAGCGGGTGCGTTGGTTGGAAGGCCACATTCTTGGGAGGTATGGTCGGTGTTGGGCCATTCGGCAGCTGATCTGCAGATGGGCCGGCTGGTGCAGGGGACACCGTAGTGGCAGTGGGCTGGGCGGCAGATGGAGCGGCAGGTGTGTTAGTCGCAGGGGTCATAGCGGCGCCGGGGGCCTTTCGTTTGCGGCGGCCAGGGACGGGGAGGACCTGGGCACTAAGGACGGCAGCGTGGGGGTGTTGTGCGGGTGTTACACGCTTCACCTCAAAGTTGGACATGATGTTGTAGGCGCTGCAATCCAGGCCGCTGAGTTCCACTCCACACTGCGTGTAGTTCTGCACGACATTGGTGAGGGTGTAGCTGCCATGCTCGTCCACCTCCACAAGCTCTACACCGGTTTCCGCATCTTCCGGCTCTATGACGGATTCGGCCGCCAGTGCAGTGAAGGCACCTACTGGCAGGTAGTTGCGTTTGTAGGATGCTTGGAACGTATTGTGGCCCGACAACTTGAAGGCGACCAGCACCATGCCGGCCGTGATGGTGGCCGTCATGCGGTGCACTGCGGCACACAGGTTGCCGAACATGCTGGGTCCATCACTGGTGGTGCTGGGTCGGTGACCTGCCATCATGAAGTCCTGTACACACCCGACGGCGACACATGTGAGGTGCGCCTGGCTGCGTTCGATTGTCTTCACAGTGTACTTGGAGCTGTAGTATGCAGTGTCACGGGCGCGGTCGATAGCGGGCTGTAAGAGGGGGCAGTCACCCCGTTCATTGGCGGGACGTGCTAGCTGGACAGCGATATCAGCCGTGTACTCCCGGTCGACTTCGCAGGCCAGGGACATCAGATGGTTGCATCCGAAGGCGAGGGCAATGGCAGGCATGTGCGGCACGAGGTTGGATGCCAGGTGGGGCAGCAAGAAGAGGCCGCTCATACCAATCCACTGGAAGGCTGTGTGGATGAGTCGGGGAAAGGCCATGCCGCAGCTGTCATCGGTGCCGCGGCAGCCGTGGCGCTTGCACGTCGTACTGTGGCTATGGGTGAGGGTACTGCGTATGACGGCAGCGTGATGGGCACGGCAGGCAGCATGTCGCGATTGAGACGGCAGTCCGCCGTTTGCGCACCCCGCCAGTCATTTGAAGTCGTATGCGGCAGGTGGGCAGTCCGCCTGCACTGCTGGCACGGGTAGACCGTGCTGCTGTGCCTCCGCA